TTTGTTGGTAAAATTATTCATAGTATTCCTTTATTTAAATCCCCTAAATGCCTGTGGGGTCTGTAGTGATATTTGTTTCTTCCCAGATACTGGTAGTTTGTGTTTTCTTTCTCTGTCAGTCTTGCTAGTTTATCATTCTTATTTCTCATGTCACAGAACCAGCTTTAGATTGATTCTTCTGTATTTTTAAATTGCCAATTTTATTGATTTCTGCTCTAATTTCCATTTCTGCTTGCTTCGGATTTCTTTTTAATTTTTTTTTAAATTCTTTTTTTAATTTACAAATATAATTGTGTATATATCTTATCTATGGGGTACAATGTGATGCTTTGATATATGTCTACATTGTAGGATATTTAACTCACACTAAAAAACAAATCCATCATGTCACATACGTGTCATTTCTTTTTATAATTTCTTGGGGTGGAAACATATTAAATAGAGACCTTTTGTCTTTTCTAATATAAGTATTTAGTACTAACATGACATTAGCTAGGTCCCACGTATTTTGATGTGTTATATTTTCATTTCCATTCAATTCAGTGGATTTTTAAATTTTCCTGGGATCTCTTTGACCCATTTAAAGGGGTCTTTATATTTTAAAGCATTTTGAGATTTTTATATTATTTCTTTCCTTTAGCTTGGTCTTGGTATATTTTTTTCCCTTTTTTCTGGTTTAAGTAGAAGCTTAGGCTATTGATTTGAACCTACTGTTTTTTATAATGTAAGTATTCCATGCTATCAGTGTCCTCCTAAACCCTGTTTGTACTGCATCCTGTAAATATTTATATATTTTTATTTTGTTCAGTTTAAATTATCTTTTTTAATACCTTTGTTATTTAGAAATATGTTAATTTCCAAGTATTTGAAGATTTTTTTTCAGTTATTGATTTCTAGTTTAATCATATTACAGTCTGACCATGTAAATTTGTTAGGGTTTGTTTTATGAGACAGGATATGGTCTGTCTGGTTTAATGTTCCAGCTGCAGGTGGAAAAGAACATGTATTTTCCTGTTTGGGGGTGAAATACTCTATAAATATCAGCTAGATCCTATTGGCTTGTGACGTTACTAATTTCTTTCATATCTCTGCTGATTTTTGCTCTAGTCGTTATATCAATTACTGAGAACAGAGCTTTCTAGTTGGGAAGATGTGGGGTGCCAGCAACTCTTTGCTGTTTGTTTAATGAACAGCAGGCATGGTCAAAAGGGCAAGTGCCTCTCCAGTTTCTGAGGCCAGCATGGAGGGTTGCTATTGCTCTGCTGATGTTTGCTCAGTGCAAAGTGGGGAAGGTTGGTAGAACTCTACTACAGTCTCTACAGTGTCTGGTGGGGAAGAAGAGAGGCACATCTGCTTGTTAGTGCAAGGAGGAACAGGTTATATGATTCTGCCTTCTTTTGGTAGTGTCCTGGTGGGAAGGGAAGGGGGACCACCTCAGTAATACAGTCTGGGAAAGGTTGTCAGAGCTCTCTCTCACAATTTCCCTAACTCCTGGTGGGATAGGGTATCACCTGGTTAATGTGGGATGGTCAACAGGGTTCTACCTGTCTCCACAGTGCTTGATGGGAAGGGATAGGTGTGCTCCCTGGTTAGTGCACGGTGGTGATATTCAACAGGACTGTACCCTCCTCTCCCCTCCCCCATTTCCACAGCACCTGGAGAGAAGGAAGAAACGTGCAGCTTCTTTCATGGTGTTCACCTAGGGTACAGCAGGTATAAAAGGATTCCGTCCTGTAGACCTGTCCTCCCCAGGGCTATTGGCTAGATAGAGCATGTTTTTCGTGGACTTCTGTTTTTTTCAGTCTATACATATTGCTGTTTCCAGATTGCAGGCTGTTTTATGGCCCAGGCTGGGATAATAGGAGGTACAGAAGCACAAGGCGGGTGGAGATCCAAGTGAGGGTCATTTCTACAATTTTCATTGTGTTTTGATAGGTGCTTTTTGTGCACTCTTTAATTAATAGAATAAGGTGGAATACTTACTCTTTCTTGTCTAGAATTGGATGCCCCTCACTTTAATTTCGAAGGCTTCATTGAATATGGAATCTTTCTTTTTCAGAACTTTAAAAATGATGTTTCCTAGGTATGGTGGGTTTTTGTTTGTTTTGTAAGAAGTTGGCAGTTACTCTTATCATTGACTCTATATATAATCTATTTCCTTCTGAGGCTCTCAAGATGTGCTTGTTATCTTTGGTTTTCTAAGGATGGCTCTCTTTATTATGCTTTGGCTTCATTGAGTTACTTTTTATCAATGGGTTGATATTTGTCATCAAATTGGAAAGGTTTTATATGATTTCATCAATTTGTTTCATGACTTAATCCCTCTTATTTCTCTTTCTGAGATCCAAATACATGCATGTTAGACCACTTGATGTATTTCATAGGCAGCTGAATAACTATTTTATCATCCTTTTATCTTGCTATATCGCAGGTTGGGATTTTTTTTTTTAGCCTGACCTCTAGTTGATTGTAAAATCAGCTATTAAACCTAGCCAATGAATTTTTCATTTTATACCTTGTATTTTTCAGTTCCAGAAGTACCTTATATTTCTTGTATGTTGAGATTCTGCCTCCCCCCATCTGTTCATTACTTATGTTCAACTTTAATTTCTTGAACATATTTATGTAGATGTTTTATAGTCCTTGTTTGATACTTGTACCATCTGCATCAGCTCTCAATCTCTGTTAATTTTTTCTCCTGGTTATGGGTCACATTTCCTGCATCTGATGTGTAATAGTTTTATTATATGCTGAACATTGTGGATGCTGTGGTCTTTAGACTCCAGATTTTATCGTTATTTCTTTAAAGAGTTTTGAGTTTACTTCTAGCAGACAGTTAACTTATTGGTGATTCAACTTGATCATTTTATAACTTCTCCAGGTTTTTCTGTCTAGTCTGCAGTAAATCTTAATTAAATTGTGGCCTTTCTTAGGTCTGTGTTATTTTCCTTTCCTCAACTATCATAGCCTTGTTTTAGATACCTATTTCATATATTTTGTCTAATTTTGTTTTGTGTTTATTTATGGATTTTTACAGCAGAAGGGGAAGTTTGATATCCATTTTTCATGGCCAAAGTAGAAGTGACAGTGATATTTTTCATAGCTTCCCAGTTGATTCTGATGTACATTCAAAGTCAGTAACTATTCTAATGCAGGATTTCTTGACAGCAACTCTATTGACATTTGGGGGCTGGGTTATTATTTGTTGTGAGGGAGCTGTCCTGAGATGTAGAATGTTTCACATCATCCCCAGTATTTATCTACTAGGTGTCAATAGTACCTCCTCCTAGTAACAACCCAGAATGTCTCCAGAAATTGCTAAATGTCTTCTGTGGGGCATAATCAACCCAGGCTGAAAACCAATAAACTATCAGGGTAGACTGTGCAAACTAGCTGTATTGGCATCATCTGGAGCTTCTCAGAAACACAGAATCTCAGGTCTTATTCCTAGACCTGTTGAATGAGGACTGCATTTAAATAAGATATGATGATATGTTTGCTTTCAAATACTCAAACAACAATGCCATAGACCAGGGGACAGCAAACTTTTTCTTAAAAGTCCAGAAAGAAAATATTTTCAGGTTATCTTCCATAGTTTTTGTCAGAACTATTCAACTATGCCATTGTAGTGCAAAAGCCCATATTGACAGTATGTAAACAAATGGATGTGGCTGTGTTCCAGTAAAACTTTATTCACAAAACAGGCATCCGACCAAGCCAAATTTTGCCAACTCCTGTTATAGACTATCCAAATCAGACCTCTCAGTGTACTGAGGACAACAGGTGGTTAAATTCTTAGATGAGTTCTTTCCAATATGTTATTTGCTGATGTTCAAGAGAGATTAGGTGTATAGCTTACACCGTAGATGATTCTGGAAATTATAGTAGCTTGACTTCTATTCTTACCTAAGCCAGATATATCTCCCAGCCTTCCATATGTGAGCTATATGTAAATGTTGCTTACATTACCTTACACTTTAGAAATATGATTTGATAGCTTATTTTTGTTTTATTCTTTATAGGCCTACTGGAATAACTATTCACTTATTTTCCCTTTAGTTAATAAAGCTGACAAACTTATGAAAAACTGCATTAATGTGACTATTATCTCAGAAAAAGTAGTTTAAAGTGAGTTATCTAACTCTCAGGTAATTTATTTCTTTTTTTATAAGAAAGCTGAAGTCTTCAAAACATCCTTTGTTTTATGTAGGATTCCTTTCTGACACTTACAAAACTCTGTATCCAGCAAGGGGAGAGCTGTTTGAAGGGTGGCAATTTAGAGGTTGAGAGGTTAGTAGCTATTCTGAGAATGATGGCATTGTCAGATGTTTTTATTATAGATGAAACTAACAATGAGCAAGCTTAAAGTATTTTGCTTTGTTTTATAAATTTCTCCTCTTCTAAGTTACTTGATAAATGGTGCTAAGAGAGGGTGTGCCATAGATCACCAAAGTGAAGCAGAAAAATTCGACTTTCAGCCAGTTAAGTGGTAATCTTAACTGATTCCTGGGATTTTGGCCAATAGGAATGATGAAAACATAGAAATATCTCCCAAAACATGCATATAAGTAATCAGTTAATTTGTTTTATATTAGTATATATTCAGTCTATAGTGGTTAGTCTTTATAACTTTCCTAGAAATGTAACACTGTATCTACCCCTGAGGCAGTTTTCTTTGGCTGTGTACAAGCCTCATCCTTTACCCCACTATACAGCATATATCACTTCTCAGTTGCCATGGAATCAAAAGGTTAAGAATCCCATTAATGACCAAAATATTTCTAATTATGGCTATCTTTCCCCCTTAAGATTAAGCCCAATTTTTTTTGGTTTTGCCAAGAAAATTCAATTTAAATTATTTAAGAAATTACCTACTTATGTGGTTTAAAAGAAAGAACCACTCAAATTTGGATGTTTATAAACTCTTAAAAAGTTTAAATCTTAAAATCTAAGATCTTTACCTAAAAATTACTTCTTGGGAAAAATAACACACAAAAACCTGATCTTGTATATTTTATTTAGCATTCTTATACATTACACAAAATAAATAGTTGGATAACTTACATCTAACAAACTATATTTTTTCCATAGGAAAGCACAAGGAGAAGACAAAAATATCAAGAGTCTCAAGAACTTTTGAATGAAGTAAACAGTTTCCCGCAAGAATTCAGCTACAGACAATTCCCAAACTCATTTTATGAACCTCATCAAGATTTTACCAGTCCAGATATATTCAAGAAGTCAAGATATTCTTCTTGGTATTATAAATACACTTCCACAGTCAGTCCAGGTATCACAGACTTAGAAAGTTCAACAGGACTTTCGTCTACAGTTTCCCAGTTTACTCTTAGTGAAGAGACAAAGGCAGATGTTCATTATTATGGCATCATCATACTTGTCCTTTTGATCTTAGTATGTCTTGCTTTATATTTTCTCTGAAGATATTGAAAGTCCTTTTAAGTTTCCAGCTCCTCACAAAATGTTATCTCCTTATTTCAGTGTTTCTTCCCAGACATTTTTAAGGTAATTGGCTTTAAAAAGAACATATTTTAACAAAGTTTGTGGACATTCTAAAAAATAAAATTGCTTTATACTAGAAATAGTGTCTTAGTACAGTTTGGAAAACACTTTTCTGAACTTTCAGATCGCCTGGCAAATCTAGAAAAGGAGTTTAATGTTTCTGATCAGAGAATTTGAAAAATAAAAATGCAGGAAAGAATGTGTTTCAAACGTTTTAAATAAGCTGATACACTATATAGGTCTATCTTCTAGAATATATTACTGAAAGCAAGGCACATTTTATGAGATATGATTACCAATTTGCTTACCTTACTACAATATGGACATTCACCAAATATGATGTTAAAACTTTGTCTACTAGTTGGTAGTCCTCTCAGCCACTGCAGATTTTAAAAGAGAAGCATCAGCATAATTACAGATACTCCAAATGTCATTCCCTTTCTAAGTGTATTATGTTTTTATTCCAGAAGACTTTACATTAATTTTGTTTCCCAAGAGTAAGGGGTATATTTCCTGAGCCAATAGCAGACTATTAACATGTAGAACAACAAGGGAAATCAACATGGAATTGAAGATCTAAACCAGACTTGGTTTATAACCATATTATGGGCCCTTTTAAGAATTTGATGAGAATTATGCATTTTCTTTTTGTTTGTTTTTTTGTTTTTGAGACAAAGTTTCACTCTTGTCACCCAGGCTGGAGTGCAATGGCATGATCTTGGCTCACCACAACCTCCATCTCCTGGGTTCGAACAATTCTCCTGCCTCAGGCTCCCGAGTAGCTGGGATTACAGGCATGTGCCACCACACCAGGCTAATTTTGTATTTTTAGTAGAGAAAGTGTTTCTCCATGTTGGTCAGACTGGTCTCCAACTCTTGACTCCATGATCTGCCCGCCTTGGCCTCCTAAAGTGCTGGGATTACAAGCATGAGCTACTGTGCCCGGCTATGCATTTTCTTTATCCTCAGAATAGACATACATAAAAAATAATGCATACAAGTTTATGTGTGCAGACTTTCCCTGAATCTGTTAATCACAAATTAACAACTCTTGCTATTAAAGATACTATAGGCTCTTGAAAATTTCTTAATTCTGGTCTTAATCACTAACAGTGGGTTAATTTTCAACCCACTGATTATAATCATGAGGCAGTCAATTTTTAAAAATTAAATGAATACTCACAATTATAAAGAAAGCACATATTTCCTTGGAGAATTTCTGTAATTCAACCTGGTATTTTATGATTTTATATAAGGTAAACAGATGTCTCTGCCTAAGTTCTCCAATGGCAAAGTACAGATAGCACCAACTGCTACCTCTAATCACAAAAGTACAGATGTGATATTAAGGAAGACTCAAATTGAAGGCACCATACAATTGCAAGGTGTTCTGTATACAGTTGCACGACAGTTAATCATGTATCAACTAAGGCAAATGACTAAAGACAGGAATGAAAGCAGACTTCACATAAAGTAAATAAACAGGCATTGCCTGAGTGCTGTGAGATAATTCTGATCATAAGAGGCATTCTTCTCAATATAGTATTGCATATATTCTATTCTTAAATGCAGCCTGAAAAGTAATAGGTATTACATAGTGCTAATTCCATTTTCACTTCATTACTGCCACTTTCAAGCACCGCTACGTTGGGTAAATCTATGAAGTTTACATTGTGGTAACAAGATATTTATAGAAAAGATTCCAATGTACAATCAGTTTAATTTGTGTGTGTCAATAAGCTAGTCCATGAATATATTCTGGATAGATTTTCTCCCTTCTTGGATACTTCAGGACATTTCTTCATCATTAGTAACTGTGATGAAGAAATGAAGCAGACATAGCATCTGGAATAATCTGATAAAGGAGTTAATGGCCAAAGAGAGGATCACTATAGACTAAATGGATTTTAGATGCTGTGTCTTTCAAACAGGCAAACTTCCTATGTTGTGTTAGCTGAAAAAAGTCTTGAGGATGTTTTTGTTTTTTACCTCATATAAGCACATTTGATGGAAAGGTTGTCCACACTGGGAATTATCACACACTTGATCAGGAATGGCACCATCAAGTTGATAAGCATAACAAATTCCACAATCCATAGTAAAATCCTTCAAAAGAAAAATATTTATAAAAAGCATATGTGTCTCACTAAATTACTGTACATATTTGGGAAGGTACATGTGATATTTGGATACATGCATACAGTGTGTAATATCAAGATAATTAAGATATTAATCACCTTAACATTTACCTTTTGTGCTGGGAACATTACAATTCTTCTAACTACTTTAGAATATGAAATCACCTATGTGTTTAAAACACAAGGTAAGATCAGTAAGAATGTTTTATAGATATAAAGATGGTTTTTATAAAGTGACTATATTGCTGTATTATAAGAAATATAATTACATCACTATTTAACACCTAGCAAAGCTATTGTAGAGTGTTTCCTTTTTCACTCAATAAATATACACAGCTAGGCTAAACAAGAGATTCCATTTTTGGCTGATAAGATGTTTGGGTGTTAGTAATTTTCCCATATCATACATCAATATAATGTCCCTAATAAATATATAAAGATAGGAATTCACATTAGCTAGTGATTACTAAACAGCAAAATTCTAAATGAAAAAGAAAACTAAAGGAAAAAGAAAAACACCACCATTTAGTAGTCTACAACCTTAGCAGCCTTGTCAAAAATCGATTCTAAGTTTATTATTTTTGCAATATGGTAGTATCTATTCAATTTTGAGAAACTGTACTGCTTCACAACTTATATGAAGCTAATCAGTACTTCAGCCATCAGTAAACAGACTGTGTAGAAAAGTCAAACATCTCATTAGCTACTTTGGACCTTTCCCCTTATTTTTAATAAATGTCTGTCCTTAATAACTTCACTACTGAAGACCATGAAAGAAGTATATAGTTGAACAACATGGGTTTGAACTACATAGGTCTCCTTATACACAGATTTTTTTTCAACCAAATGTAGAACAAAAATACAGTATTGGGGAGAGGCAGAACCTGTGTTTCTGTGAAATCTGTGTATACAGAAGGCTTTTTTCTATATATATGGGTCCCACAGGGAAACTGGAACTTGAATGTGTGTAGATTTTGGTATCCATGGGCAGCCCTGAAATCAATCCCCTTATTCTAAGAGACAATCATATGTTAACAACCAATCAAAGGTAACAAGTTCTCTGATGTACTTCAGAAGTCTGTGTTTTTATTTTTCCACTTCTCTCCCTTTTCAGCCTCATTTTTCACTGAGAGAAGCATTTAAACATCATTATGCAATGCTGTTTGGAATATCAAAGCACTGATAAAACTTACAGATTTTTCCAGGATAGCACGAGCTGGAAAATCAATTTCTAAAACATCTTTCAAATTTTGTAACACACTATTTTCTGGATCCCTGAAAGCATGGGAAAAAAAAAATACGCTATGAACTTTGTAAAATCACCAAAAAGTAAAAATTATATTGCCAAGGTACCTACCACAAGTGTATGTTCCTGCTCAGCTTAATTCCCAGGGGTTTTACCACTTCAGATTAAAAAAAAAAGTTTAATAATTGCATACTTTACTCATGATTTGTAAAGCCATATGATACAGAATGTTTCCTTAACTACTTGATTAGAAAAATCAAAATTATATGTATTATGTTAAAAAACAATTATGCAGTTCAGAATGCTGAGACATTTTCATTTAAAATAACTACCATTAATATATTAATATTTTCTAATAATTTAACAATGGTAGGCAAGGATTTTATGATTCTATTAAAAAATATTTAAATCTCAGATCTCATACCATGGTCAGCTCCAAGAAACAAGCACTCAGGAAGCATAGTAGGATGCTTCGGGTCTACCTCTATATTTATGGAAACATTATTCCCTAGAAAGAAACAAGATTAAAACTTTTAGAAGTAGAACAGTTCATCAAACAAGCCAATAAAAAATGAAGAGATATTGGTCTGGCTACCTATTTCACTATATACCCACAGAAAGATTAACCAAATGTTTTGTAGTTTTTTTGTAACAGTAAATATATTGTTATAATTTAACCAAAAGAAGTACTTTTGATATTATGATTATCATTAAAGGGATCTTAAATCAGCCAACCAACAAATTAATATATTTAATTAGATTTCAATTCTGGTCAACTGTATTAAAGTTCAAATAAAAATGCTCTGTGGAATGATAAAGGTCTTCAATATCAAAACTATCACAAGTCATAAGTTTAAGAAATAATCATCTAAATTGCTTTTCATGGCTTTCTTGAAAAAGTTTACATTTCACAGAACTATGGTCAAATGTAAAAAGACTAGCAATACATTAAATGGTAAAAACATTTAAGATTCAAGTTTTATAAAAATTTATAAAAACATTTTCTGAATTATTTTACTGCATGTGAAACTTTCCCTTATAATTTAACATAAGATTTCATTCACAATGGCAATTGTTCATTTAATAAAAAAACCAGTAAGTAACCTAATTTCCCAAGACGTAAAAAAACTGGCACTAGATTCTTTTATACATTTTTAACTGTACTGGGCTACAGCATAAGTTTCAGAAATTTTAATTCTATTTCTTGAAGGTATACAGTGTTATTAAGATCAATTTGGATTTCATTTTTATGGTAAAAATGTCTTTATAAATTCTGTACACTATAGAATAAGCCTTTCATTAAGCCAGGCAACAACATAAATGCAATTATTACACATCTGGCAAAAAGAGATCATCAGTGGCTAGTAAAAAATGACTAGCCATTCAATGAGAAAAATAAAAATACAAAAAGTTAAAATCTCTTTTGGTAACACATTCTTTATTATGAACACAAATTTCTTATTAGCCCTCAATAGTATCATCTAGTAATGGCTCCAGACTGTTCTGTCACTTAATAAGGGCATATTAACTAATCTTTCCATTAACTTGTTCAAAACTGGTCTTAAGAAACCAAATCATGCCTGGAGGAGAAAAAAGAAGCTAAAAGGTAAATAGAGAATGAATTAAATACTAGGCTATTTATGCTAAATGAGAAATAAAAAGTATATTTAATCAAGACCTGATGACAATAATTATTTTATTGGAGCCATGAAAATAATGAATTACTACATTTCTGTGAAGAAAATATTTTGTTCACAAATATACCATAATTTGGCTAATTATTCCATTTTAAACACAGTTAGACTTTTTCAAACCAGTAAAGTGATACTGTTTGTAGAACTGCTGTATAACTATACTTTCTTCTTCTCATAATAGCATGTATGTCACATTCTCCCCCCAGATAATCTATATTATACCTAGGAATCCAGTGTAAAAATTACTCACTAACTTGGATGTGATTCACATCAGAATTAAAAAATATCCTTGAACAATGTATCTATTTAGAAAAAAAGACAGAAATCAGTATCTTAAAACTAGCTACGGTATTTAATGTAAGCTTAAATATAGTTTAAAATCTTGAGAGAGGTTGAACTCTGAAAGTAACTTTGTTTTGCTTGCTTATAATGAAAATACATAACCATTTTATCGTCAAGAGAATGTGATAACACTGCACACCTATTTATGTTTGTACCATATCTTACTCATAAGTTTCACATATTTGTAGTGAAGAAAATACTTAAATTCTTACTCTGTGCTTTCTGTTTACTCTTCAGTTGCATGGTCTACTAAAAGTTATTTTATGTTCCTCTGTATTTCTATCAGAAAATATTCCTAGAACTCAGCACACTAAATTTTTAAGTTTCACAAATGAAGACTTCATTATTCAAACACCCTTTTTTCTGGTTCAAAGTAATGTAAATTTTGAATAACCTGCTCCACCATTCCTGTGCTAATTAACAGCTAATTAAACACTACTTCTGAATGTTTTGGATCATCACCTCTTAAAATGAAACACCTCCGGACTTGCCATTTTCACCTAAAATATTTACATTTAAATAGGTAGGAAAAAAAAAATAGTTCATCCAAAAAAATTTTAATAGTTGATTTCATACAAAGAAGTCTGAGTTCTACTGCCATTGTTAAATTACTTTTCATAAGTAATACAAAATAAAATCAAACACCCAGAAACAAACCCCTAATCCTTTCTGTCCCTACCTAATGCAATTCTGCGTGTTGTTGCACTCCGTGGAGGTTTTTCTGGCTCAAGTACCCAGGTCTTCTCATCGATTTCATCCATAACATCCCAGAATGCCTTTAGTGATTCTAATGCTGCCAAAAACTGACTGTAAATGCTTATTAAGGAGCTCTGTGAAAAAATGAAAGTTGAATAAGTTATGTGGCACTCTACCAATAGTAATCTTTTACTTAAAATACACTCAATATAGAAATGTTAAGCTCTGTTCCATTTAGATAGAAAGTAGACTCCAGTAAACAGGAGTCAACTCTGCCTGTTTCACATCTCTTCCTACAGCATTAACAGAATTATTTTTTTTTTATTGACAGTAGACTATACTCCTGAGAAAGAATGGTTTTCAGAAATCATAATTATATTTTAATGCTTGTTATACTACAGGCATGGAATAGTAATGAGTACACAAGATGATATGTACACAAAACTTTAATAAATATTAATGTATGTAATATAGCTAACATATAGGACCTATACAAAGTGTCTATAGACTTTTAGCATGAAAATCTTAATTTCATGTTTATTGCAGCAATCAAGTTAAATGCAGTGCTATTTGTAATTTGATTACTATCAAAAAATAACGTTCAGGACCTAATTAGGCAAAGACTATGAAAAGGTTTTACACATTTTTAGAGAATTAGAAGTTACAATGATGTTTTTCCACATTTAACTTTTAGCCAACCTCTGAATTCAGTATTTCATATATTAATTATTTACAGAAATTAATTTCAATATAGTTGCTCTAAAGTAATGCCATCACTGACTTTAAAAATCAATTTTTACTTTTAAGCAAAGGAGTTTCTCATAAAACAATGTGGTATGTTTAAAAGATACAACTGCTTACTAAATACTTTTGATATAAAATCAATCAAAACAAATAGTTTAAAATAAGAATTAAGGGTTTTATAGTTTCAAGTAAGCAAAATGTAAAGTAACATACTACAAATGTTGTCAATCTGAAATAACTGGCCACACCAATAATCCAAGAATATGATACACCCTAAGATAAAAAGGAACTAGCCACTTCCTTAAAAATTATTATTATCTATATACTTAAGGAAAACCCATCCCATTCTGTCACTTCACTCAAGGTTTACACTTAGATGAATTCAAGGCTCAGTTCCACGGAGTTGGATTCAACTGTTCTAACCTTCTACATACATTTAAAAAAAAAAAAAAGTGTAAGAGTAGAAATTAGAGCCTAATAATGCCGGAGAAAAAAACCTTTGAGGATACTGACGTTACAATGTCTGTTCTCTTCTAGTATATTTTACTTATCTATAAGTTTAGATGACAGAATCCAGAAATCAGAAAATTAAACTCCCAAGAAGCTAATTTTAAAATCAGTACAGCAGTGTATCTCTGTCTCTCATTTCTCTCTCTATCTCCATCTGTTTCTACATGTGTATTTAAATTCCGTACTTACCTATTACCTTATATACCCAAGAAAAGGATAACCCCTCTCCCAAAAAAATGATAGGTTTTCACAGTGGCATCTTTTATTTGAAGTTATTTTCAATGGCATTATCCATTTCCCTATGCACAACTGCAAATAAAATCTTAACTGCATTTTGAACAGAAACTAAAGTAAATTTTTCAGTAAGAAAATGGCCAAAAACAAAACATCCCTGGAACTAGAATTTACTTGCTAATTACAGAAAAAGTTAATTTTAAACCTAAAAGCCATTATATGATTTTACTAGCTAGCCATTTGAGGTAGATACATTAAACAGTATTTTTACATTCCAATAGGAAAAAGAAAGACCAAAAAAGTGACAAGCTGGACACAGAAACACTTCTCTTAGGAATTTCAATGAGCTTAGAGGGTAGACATCAAAACTTACATCACTGAGCTATGTGATTAATTAACAGTTTCTCCAACTGCTTATCTGGTCCATTAAATCACTAAAAAACTCTTTATTTTGAATTTATTCCTCAAACTGAAAAAATACATTATTTCTAAATAATAACAATGGAATTAAATGTTCTACATAGGGCACCACAAATGCCAAGGAATAATATAGACAAAATTAAAATCAAAGCTCAATAGTATTTTGCAGGGAGATTTGAAAAAGTATTTTTAAAAATAAAAATAGCCAACATTCTTGGTGATTGGCAAGATGGTTGAATAGGAATAGCCCTAGTCTGTAGCTCTCAGTGAAATCAAGGCAGAAGGCAGGTGATTTCTACATTTCCATATGAGGTACCTGGCTCATCTCACTGGGACTAGTTAGACAGTGGATGCACCCCACAAAGGGCAAGCCAAAGCAGGTTAGGGTGTTGCCTCACTTGGGAAGCACAAGGGGTCGGGGAACTTCTCCCCTAGCCAAGATACACTTCCCTCACCGGAAGCTGTAAGGGACTGCCATGAGGAAAGGTGCATTCCAGCCCAGATACTACCCGGAAGTCGGAACTGGCCAGAGCCGACCGCAGCTCTGCAAAGCCACTGTAGCCAGACAGCCTCTCTAGATTCTTCCCCTCTGGGCAGGGCATCTCTGAAGAAAGGCAGTAGCCCCAGTTAGAGGCTTATAAACAAAACTCCCATCTCCCTGGAACAGAGTACCTGAGGGAACAGCTTCAGCAGATTTAAACATTGTGCCTGCCAGCTCTGAAAAGAACAGTGGATCTTCTGGCACAGTGCTCAAGCTCTGCTAAGTGACACACTGCCTCCTCAAGTGGGTCCTTGACCCCCATGCCTCCTGACTGGGAGATACCTTCCAGCAGGGGTCAACAAACACTCATTCCAGAGAGCTCCAGCTGGCATCTGGTGGGTGCCCCTCTGGGAGGAAGCTTCCAGAGGAAGAAACAGGCAGCAATCTTTGCTGTTCTGCAGCCTCCACCGATGATAGCCAGGCAAATACGGATGGGAGTGGACCTCCAGTTAACTCCAACAGACCTGCAGCAGAGGGGCCTGTTAGAAGAAAACTAACAAACAGAAAGAAATAGCATCAACATCAACAAAAGGATGTCCACACAGAAATCCCATCTGAAGGTCACCAACATCAAAGACCAAAGGCAGATAAATCCACAAAGATGAGAAAAAACAGTGCAAAAGGGATGAAAATTCCAAATACCAGAATGCCTCTTCTCCAAAGAATCACAACTCCTTGCCAGGAAGGAAGAAAACTGGATGGAGAATGAGTTTGACAAATTGACAAAAGTAGGCTTCAGAAGGTGGGTAATAACAAACCCCTCCAAGCTAAAGGAGCATGTTCTAACCCAACGCAAGAAAGCTAAGAACCTTGAAAAAAGATTAGAGGAATTGCTAACTAGAATAACAAGTTTAGAGAAGAAGACAAATGACCTGATGGAGCTGAAAAACACAGCATGAGAACTTCATGAAGCACACACAAGTATCAATAGCCAAACTGATCAAGCAAAAGAAAGGGTATTAGAAATTGAAGATCAACTTAATGAAACAAAGTGTGAAGACAAGATGAGAGAAAAAAGAATGAAAAGGAACAAACAAAGCCTCCAAGAAATATGGGACTATGTAAAAAGACCAAACCTACATTTGATTGGTGTAACTGACAGTAACAGGGAGAATGGAACCAAGTTGGAAAATACTCTTCAGGATATTATCCAGGAGAACTTCCTCAACCTAGCAAGACAGGCCAACATTCAAATTCAGAAAATACAGAGAGCACCACAAACATATTCCTTGAGAAAGAACAACCCCAAGACACATAATTGTCAGATTCACCAAGGTTAAATTAAAGGAAAAAATGCTAAGGGCAGTCAGAAAGAAAGGTTGGATTACCCACAAAGGGAAGCCCATCAGACTAACAGCAGATCTCTCTGCATAAAGCCTATAAGCCAGAAAAGAGTTGGGGCCAATATTCAACATTCTTAAAGAATTTTCAGCCCAGAATTTCATATCCAGCCAAACTAAGCTTCATCTGCAAAGGAGAAATAAAATCCTTTACAGACAAGCAAATGCTGAGAGATTTTGTCACCACCAGGCCTGCCTTACAAGAGCTCCTGAAGGAAACACTAAATATGGAAAGGAACAACCAGTACCAGACACTGCAAAAACATATTAAATTGTCAAGACACTGTGAAGAAACTGTATCAACTAATGGGCAAAATAACCAGCTAGCATAATGAATCAAATTCACAAATAACAATATTAACCTTAAATGTAAAAGGGCTAAATCCCTCAATTAAAAAACACAGATCAGGCTGGGTGCAGTGGCTCACGCCTGTAATCCCAGCACTTTTGGAGGCTGAGGAGGGCGGATCACCTGAGGTCGGGAGTTTGACACCAGCCTGACCAACATGGAGAAACCCTGTGTCTACTAAAAATACAAAATTAGCTGGGCATGGTGTCACATGCCTGTAATCCAAGCTACTCCAGAGGCTGAGGCAGGATAATCGCTTAAACGCTGGAAGCAGAGGTTGCAGTGAGACGAGGTCATGCCATTGCACTCCAGCCTTGGAAACAAGAGTGAAACTCCATCTCAAAAAACAAACAAACAAACAAACAAAAAACAGATCAGTAAATTGGATAGAGTCAAGACCCATTGTTGTGCTATATTCAGGAGACAAATCTCACCTGCAAAGACACACATAGGCTTAACATAAAGGGATAGAGGAATATTTACCAAGCAAATGGAATGCAAAAAAAAAAGCAGGGGTAGCAATCCTAGTCTCTGATAAAACAGAGTTTAAACTAACAAAGATGAAAACAGACAAAGAAAGGCATTACATAATGGTAAAGGTATCAATGCAACAAGAAGAGCTAACTATACTAAATATATACGCACCCAATACATGAGCATCCAGATTCATATAGCAAGTTCTTAGAGACCTACAAAGAGACTCAGACTCCCACACAATAATAGGGGAGACTTTAACACCCCACTGGTCAATATTAGATCAACGAGACAGAAAATTAACAAGTATATTCAGGACTTGAACTCAGCTCTGGACCAAATGAACCTAATAGACATCTACAGAACTCTCCATCCCAACTCAACAGAATATACATTCTTCTCAGCAACACGTCACACTTGTTCTAAAATTGACCACATAATTGGAAGTAAAACATTCCTCAGCAAATGAAAAGAATGGAAATCATAAAAACAGTCTCTCAGACGACAGTGCAATCAAATTAG